AATGGCTTCAAACTGAAGCATCGGAAGTTCCACAGGAACTTAAGGAAGCATTTCTTCACTGTGAGGGTGACAAAGCACTGGAACAGGCTGCCCAGAGAGGTTGTGGASTCTCSTTCTTTGGAGATCTATAAAACCCGCTTGGAYGCAGCCCTGTGCCACGTGCTCTAGGTGACCCTGYGTGAGCAGGGGGGTTGGACTCKATGACCTCTGAGGTCCCTTCCAACCTTGGCCATTCTATGATTCTAAGAAAGGGATGGGTAGTTCTGGGCTAATTAATACTTTTCACAGCASAATTCTCCTTTCACTTAGCAAGAGGTTTTATGTAGGAAGGAGAAAAGGAATGTGGGGATTCTTTAATATTTGTTTTTGGAAAAAGTCACTATCATGTTAGGCAAATAAGACTAAGAGGAGTTTAAACTCAAATATGCAGATTTCAAAACACTTGCACAGTAATTTGGTCTATCTAGAAAATTTGGTCTATCTATAAAACAATGCAGAATGAATTTTAAAAATATATTCTATCATTAGAACAGAATTAGTACTGCTTCTGGAGGTTGTTAGCAATATTGTTCAGTAGTAATAAACACCGACATTGCTAACTCAACTTTATTATTCTCATGAGCTGAAGAAAACTGATCAGACAATTAAGATTATTATTACATGCTAAATATAGGCATTGAATAATTTCTATTCACCAACACTCGGAGAATTTCTAAATAAGCAATAGACTTTTTTTCCAGAAATCTGCCCATGGGTATCCACCTTCCAAATAGTGAAGAGAGATTTATTTTTACAGAAGACAGCTCATAAGGACTGGTAACAAATACAATGACAATCCAATTGTAAATATAACTTAAGTTAGGCATATTAAACTTATTCAGTGAGTAACATCTTAGGGTTTTATTTTTTATTGGGAACGGCTGGCCAGTACCTCTTGGAAGGTTTTTGTTTCTTTTATTCCACTCTCTCCAATCCCCTTTTTCTTTATTAAGGAGGGGAGAAAGGAAAGAGGGGGAGAAAGGAAAGAGAGGTAACTTTTAAAGTTARGGAGAGGAAAGAGGAGTGGATACTGCATTCACACAGTCCATGCTGAACAGAAAGTGTTACAATATAAAGCCATTTCAAGGTTCCACAAAATCAGAGTACACATCAGTGATTTTAAAACGTCAATAAAAAGGAACCAAGGTCAGACTTCAGTAAGAATGTAAAGTCTCATGATCGCAACATCAGCTTTCGCTTGGAGCTGGCTCTGGGAAGCATGAGCTCCGAATCAGTACTAAACATTAGGTCAGATGTCACATGAAAATATTTTTAATATTGACTCACCAGGGCACATTATGTTTCCCAAGCATTTACGGGAGCTGGGATACCCAGTGAGTGGGGCGGCCGCCTGGCTCTAGGGCCCAGGATCCCGTCCCTGGCGCGAGGGCCTCGSCTGCGCAGCAGGGCCCACACGCAGGCGCCTCCCTTCTCTCCCCAGCACTGCCCATTTCTGAAGATCCTGATGCTGRGCATCCCACCGAACAAAGCTGAAGCAGTGGTCTTATATTATGCTTGTAATTGTCCCATCCTTGGCTGCGAGTGGAATGCACCTTGATAACTTGTCCTTGGATGATGCACAAGCTACACTTGTAGACTAGAGTTTAGGACTATCACTGCCCCTCATGGTCCCTCAGCGCAGCACAGAAGGCAGGAGAGCTGAGTGGGTCTCACTGCTTTTATTCTCTGCAGGGCTGGACAACTGGGTAACTCTCCAATTAAAAAGAGCGTGGCTGTGTTCAGCATTATACAATCTGCATAAGTTTACAGCWTCTCTGATATTCAGTAATTGGAAAAATAGAATTTCATTTTTATTATGTCATCACAGACTCAGTTCAATCGTGCTATTTCTACTGTATGGAGTTTTCAGTGTAAACTTATTTAACCGTCGCTACAATTTTGATACAATCATTTTCTCAATACCTTAAAGGCTAAAAAGATCTTGTTCTAAATAAACAAAAAACTGTCTTATTCCACCCTTTCCAGCTCCAGAGACAAAAGACAGAACATAAAGACACTCCATTTTATTGACCTTTTTTTAAAAAAAAAGGGCACAGCTTTCCCAATTTTTAGGGAACAGAAATCTKTATCAGTTTTCTTCTAGAAATCGTTTAAGGAAGAATTTTGAGAGGCCAGGATCCATTCAAAGTGGAAACACAAACTGAATATTCAAAGTATTTCAGAATACTCCCATCAGGGAAGAGGGTTAAGCATCAGTTTTAGGGTAAGTTTCCTCAAATGACATATCTGTTGTTTTTTAAGGTATAGAGCAGGTTGATAGGAAGGGGAATAGAAACATCCCTTCTATGGTCATGTAGTTAAAACCTATAGTGCCCAACATGGTTAAAGTAAACCACATACAGAGATSTGTATTTTTTTGGAAGGAGGAACACCAAATATCCCAGTCTGATGGCACTTCTCCTTTGCATTTGTGATATGAGAAAGCATATATTAGTTTACAACATTTTCCGTGTATTTTTTCCCATGGCACGCATGTTAAGCTTCCAATTCAAAAACAGTGATACTGAAYCACGACGCAGGTGGCACTGGCTCTGCTCCTGGACTTGCCCTCAATCAACTTCACAGAAGGAGAATTAAAAGACGACTGACACCTCACTCACACTAGTGTAGGTCCTGCTATTTATTATTTAGTTATTTTAATAGTATTGCCCATCTTTATATTAAATGTCTTACATAATCTCTCCATTCTAGATTGTTCCTTTGTAATTCCATGATATTTCACGTACAGAAAAGCAGTTCAAGAATACCCCAACAGAGTCTTCGGTAATGTGTTTCTCTCTCATTTTATTACCTTTAAAAACAGATTTAGGTGGCCATCAGCRCTGCTTCCACCCTGCTTACACTTCAAGAAGTAGTAAGTAACACTTTCAGGCCACAGAAGCCACTAATGTTTTCCACTGTAATCCTAACCTTAAGTAATTATCACAGTTACTAAGCAAATAAAAATTAAAAAGGAGGAAAAATAAAAGTCTGCATTTGCTTGTTTAAGCAGCAAAGCTGCTTAGCAATTTCCACTTACCTTTATCTCAGGCTCTTTTTCACATTCTTCTATATACAAATCATAGAGTTTTTGAAATAGAGATTTTCTGCAATAAAAAAAATCTTAATGTAAAAACAAATTAAAGAAATAGTCAAAAATTAAATACCGAAACGTATGCTACCTTCCACTGGATAAATATTTTCGTTTGGGAGGTCTCTGACGGGCACTTTCGATGATATACTGGAAAGGAAAGGTAAAGCAAATATAAAGCTTGCATTAAAAAGAAATGTATTTTTTTAATACCAAGCTAYTTTTGATCATTATCAAGCATTGTTCTATGTATACGTTAAATAATTACCACAGTTAYGGCAATCAACTGTCAAACTTATTTAATATGAACCATTGTATGTTATATTCATTAACAAAGAAGCATTTCTCAATTGAACTATAAAATACAGCACTTTTTGGCTATGGAAGAYGATGGAATTGAAATAGTATTTAGAAACACCTTGTTTACTGAAGTTTGTTAAAGCAAGATTAGATTACATTTACCTCAAGACAGTCAAATTGAAGTGTATTGGCTCACAGTACTTACATATCAATACAATTAACTTTAAAATTATTTCCCCATTGGCTCCTGCATCAACGCTGCGTTTGACAAATTTATATAACCATTTTTTATAGAAGCAATTCATGTAACAAACATTTTAATTTAAAAATGAGTGATACCATATTAATGATACTATAGCAGTTAAAGGTAGCTTTTACTTTGAAAAATTTTCCCTAAGAGTTTTTCTTGAGTATTTKTATTAAAACTTTAGATTAGTATTTCAGTGAAAACAGGACTCCTTCAGAAAAATGTATTCCCCCAAAAAGGGTGTCATGTAAGCATTACATCCCATGTTGCCTTAAAAGAGCCTGAATATAACAGCATTTGTCTCTGTTGCAACTGGGTTAYCCTTAACACCACAAGCATGATTTTGCCACGTATTCCTTTAAGCTATCTCTGATTTTAGAGAAAATGATCACTATAGAGCTCTGCTTATTTCACAGTGCATAGATTTGCTGYGTTTTTGAAGAAAAGTCTTGCACATTCAGTTTTCATTGCACCTGATGTTCTCAATATGTTTGAAGAGAGACAAATGCTTGGCCTAGCAGCTTTATCAAAATTTTTGTAATTCAGTCTTACATGTATCTGTGGTTATATAWAGCACACACACACAGCACCTCCCCCTTTTTCACAAGAAATACAGAACCATAATATTTAAGCAGCAGCCCAATACATTATTTATGTGCAAATGTCTTAGCTACTCCTTACCTCTGCACGATCCAATGCCAGTTCTAAAGCTTGTTGCTGCAAGAATTATAAAAAGCTTCTTAGAAAATATATCATATAATCTTGTACTAAATTCTGTTACTATTGGCCTGAAGTGTTTTTTTTAGAAGATCCAGCTAAACATTGTTTGATATATACTAAACATGGCAGCTGAAGCATCACTTAAATGCATTAATGGTCATTAAGCCCCTAGCAAGTGCCTACACTGTCAAAGTTTTAACCAAATCATGAGCTGTTAGAACAGTTACAGGCCATTCGAACTAACAGCAGGAATGGAAATCATAAGGGTAATGAAAACTGTTAATCAAAAAAGTTACTGGCAACAAATGGAAAATCTTTCATCTGTTCTTAACTTGGCTGCCAATATACCTGAAAAAGTAGGCAGGTACAAGTACATGAAAAAGAAACAGTAATGGAAAAGGTATTCTTGAAGAGAAGTCCAGAAATAAAACATTCAATGCTAAAAATACTGATGTCCATGTATTAGGATAACAATTTTTCTACATGAGGAAAATGAAGATCCTGGACTCTGCACAAGACAGTACTCCCTGGGAAGAGTTTCTAATGATGACATTATTAGGTGGCTGAGAAATTAATGCAACCTCCACTCCAGATTTCCCTCAAGGCAGGTTAAGCAGCATGCCTGGCCCTTAGGACAATATACTGAAAACCTTAAGAATAGAGACTCCAGTAGAGGCTAGGTATGTTATTTCGTACTTTAGAACAGAATTCAGGGAAGAGAAGCATACTAAACAAATAAATATATATAATGAAAATACTCAGGTTTGTCATCTTTCATCTACAGTTTCTCTACTACAGATTTTTTAATCTATTCTTGAGGGGAAAAAAAGCATCCATGGATAGTGTGCTACTACTCTTTAGAACCTAAAATACAGCATATTCACATTTGAAAGTGTTTAGGTGTCTATAGGGCTAGGTCAAACTTTCATGTTTTCTATATAAACACATGGGACAATCCCATAATTTCTGATRCTCTATTCACTTTTTGCTTGGCATTGAGAGAAAATCCAACCTTATCACCTATAAACAGAATACTAAGAAAGCAAGTGGATATACAATTTGTACGTCACAATTTACTGAATAAYCTCAGTCAAGACTGAAAACAGATCGCTAGCTTCATATGGCAATTCCTATGATTTACTGGCTGGTAACTAAATGTTTAGGAACAATATACAAAGGAAGATATTGCTTCCTACAAAGGAAGATATTGCGGATAGAAAGGAATGATAGAAACTCATGAATGCTAATTAGAAATCAAATAGCCAAGATGAYGATCAATGCTAACAACATTCTCCCTCCTCATCACCCACACAACTAGCACAATGGAGAAAAAGACATCTGAAACTATTTGAACTATAGCTTACCATTGTAGTTGAAGCCAGGTGACCAAATGGCAAATGAAATATTTAAGATGTTTGGTGCAGTAGGTAACAAATCATATTTTTGGTTACACTTGAGTTACTGAGGAATAAAGGAGAAAAATATATACATGTAAGCAAGAAGATAACCAAGCATTTTAGTTATTTAAATTCAATATTTAAAACTGTTAATTATTTGATCTCATTTGCACAGTAGCCTTCACTCAAAAGAGGAACAAAAGTTCCACCAAGCGCAGAAGTCGCTATTCTAACGACTGCTGCTACTTTACACAATCACTTTACATGAGAGATACTAATTCGTAAAGTAATACCAAGCACGTAAGAGAAATTACATAGCCAAAGACGCCGTTTATTGCAGCAGCCAACCTAAGTACTCCAGACATCATATCCAGAAAGGCAAAGGAGGCTGCAGTAGGTAAGTGCAAGTGGCCAGCACATCTACCACATGCCATTAGGTTTTTGTTTTATGAATGTATTAGTCCACACCGGCACCTGCATTAAGACAAGCAAAATTAAGACAACACCAGCAGTGCCTCCTAGCACTACTTTAAGATRTTAGCTTAATACTGACTCACTACCAATTATGAGGCAAATGACGCTTTCACAGCACACTTGAATTTTGCGGACATGCTTAACCATTGTGTCCCTTTATCATTTCCTTTTTAAAATTCAGCTTTGTAGTTGTATTACATAAAACAGTCTTAATTAAAGTCATCTTAACCCTATCTGCCTGTTGCTGATAGCACAGCTTCTTCTTAGCTTCATTGCCAACAGAGACGTGAAAGTTGAAGCCAGTCTTACTTCAGCACTGAACACAGGCCTTTCCCCACAATTCTGTGAACATTACAGTTCCTGGAAGCACTTGCAATGAACTGTAATTTAGGAGCCTTCCTTGCACACAGAAGCTTGCACGCTTGGCTTATGAAAACCTGTGGCACCTGCGTTTCCTATCTGCCCTGAGCACGGGTAAAATCTAAGCCTCTTCCCAGGCTTTTGAGGGAATGTCCCCAGGACATTCCCCCAGCATGTCCCCAGGACCTGTCGGCGCCTCCCTGCTTGGCAGTGCCCGCACAGCGCCGCTTCCCACAGGCAGCGCCAGCGGAAGGGGAGGGCCCCGGCGCCCCCACCATCGCATCGGTGCGGAGGGAGAGCCCGATGCGCAGAGCCGGGCCTAGCTGGGTGAGCGACCGCAGGGGCCGCGGCGACCGGGAGGCCCCAGGGCCTTGGCCAGTCCCGCCTCCCGCGGCGCTGCCCAACGGCCACAACGGCCCCACCCGGGGGCAGAGCCGCCCGGGCCGTTACCTGCGGCCTCACGGGGGGTCCCGCCCCGCGCGCAGCTGCCCCCGCCRCCCGCTCATCCGCGCCCGCCGCGGCCCCCGCCGCTTCCGCCGCGCCGCTTCCGAGGCCCCGCTCCCGGAAGGGGCGGGGCGGTCGCCATGGGGACCAGGGGGCGGGGTCGCTGCGGCGTCGCCATAGAGATGGGCCTGGCAGTGACCAATGGAGAGCGGGGATTGCAAGCTCCGCCCCCTGCCTCGCCCCTCCCCTCGCTGGCTGGGTCCGGGAGTGGCCGTTGGGCGAGCCGTTAGCCAGGGCGATGAAATCAGATCAAATCACAGTTGTACAGCGAACTTGGAATGCGTGTGTTCAACATATATGCTCACTGGATGTTTCTAGTAATGATGCAGTCCCATCAAACTGATTGGAAGTACCCTGGGAGGAAATTTGCTGTGTCCTCTGCCTCCAGAGAGGTTAAAGGGACTGTTTTTGGCCAATACTTGCCTAACAAGAAACCATCAAGTGTGTGTGTACGGATATAGATTAACAAATACCAGGATTCCTTGGTAACCTACCGTTGTGAAGAACTGAAACATTGTCATATTTGGGAAATGGTTTGAAATGGGATTTGTATTTCTGAAATAAGAACTGTAAAACAAAACCCTTGTAAATGCTATTTTTACTGTGATATTAATGGTAACTAGTTTTTCAGCAGCTGGAAAAGGAGTCTGCATTAAAGACTTGCTGACCACATGTATCAACCTTTTCATCCATTGTATGTATGTTTGTTTGTTTCTATTTTTAAAAACTGCAGGATCAGTCGAGTCCACACTGCCTTCCTACCCTGCTGCAGTGCTTCCCAGGGCATCCTAGAAGGGGAAGACCGGGCTGAGAGGCACACCTGGTATCCATACTTTGTCTGGATCTGTAAATGTTTCCAAGCTGTCCTAGGTACATCTTCACATTATACATGTTGTCCATAGGTACCTCTGCACTGTGCATGATACATATTGTCCATGGACTGCAATCTACCTCTTGTAGAAGCACTGCCCTGCATCTACGTCTTGTCTGGTATTCTCAGGCCTTTCTAACATTTGTGCATGAGTCACAACTCACAGGATAAGCAGTCAATCCTAATAACGAGCTACACCCACCACTGCCATTCTGTGCCACTATTAACTTTCCAGTGCTGACATGTCCTGCCTAAGTAATTTAAAAACTCACAGAAATTTAGAGACAAAGCAGAGAGCTTAGAAAAAGCTACACTGCAAGAAGGAGCCTCTTCAAGTGTCCTGAGTGCTGACGCTGTTGCAGTTTCAGCACCTGATTCTTCTTTGCCCCTCTGCAACTCACACAACTGTCAAAATGTGGGATGTTGTAATTGCTGATCAGGTCCAGGGTCTCTCAGTGCACAGGGCAAAAATCTCTGATGGGATCAGAATTCTTCAGATGTGAGAAGAAAATTTTGGGCACCCACTTTCAGCAAGTGAAAAGCTAACTTAATTGCTGAGAGCCCACACAGTTCCTGGACACCAAGGAATGGGTGACCTGGATCCCATCCTCGCAGAGAAATAGGTGGCAGTTCTTTCAAGAAGCTGACTTCTCCAGATGCAGCTGGAGTGTAGGAGTACTCCAGTACTTCCGGAGGTGTAGCTGCAGGTGTAGGAATACTTCTGCAGGCACCTACTGAGGCAGAGAAGCTAGCCCAGCTCTGAGCTACGTTGGGCTATATGAGATAGCCCAGAGGTGCCTTTCAGCCCATTTTTTTCGTATGAATCTGTGCTATGTGCTATCCTCCTTCATACTATCTGGTAAACCATAACAGGCATCAGAACATAATCGTTATGATCTTAAGGCTATTTTTGTTTGTCATTTTGTTCTGCCAGATGAAGAACACGGGGAATGTGAAATGATAACATACAGTCGACTAGGCTTTCTTTTGAAAGGATGTTTCCTTGATTTCCACAACAAAGGATTTTAAGTATACTTTTTTGATTTATGGCCAGTAACTGTGTGTATTTTAATATGATAAGTCAGAGCTGAACTTAGCAAAATGTAAGCATGAAGTCTCATTTCATCTCGGTTTACCGGCCAGAAGAAACGCTGTGCAGCATTGGCTCACAACTGCAGTGGCCATGTGCATAATGTTCCTGTATTTGAGAAGTCTGCTGTATTTCACTTCAGGTAAACAGGCACTCTCATTCTGCCTACCAACATCAACATCTCCTTTGAGGGGCCCATATCCTGACAACAGGTTCTTTCCGCCACGATCTGCCATGATCATGCCAGCCCTTAGTTTGCTGCTCAGTGCCCGCTCAGGCGGCCATTAGGCTTGAGCGGCCCTTGAGATCAGCTCTGGCACATGTGCTCAGTGCTGGCATGACCCATGGTGATCACTGCAGAGAAAGGGCAACCCATGTTGCTACAGAACTCAGCATTTCATAAGGCCTCTCAGCCAAAGGCCATTACCACATTTTCCTCTCTATTATCATGAAAAAGAATATGTGGGAAACAAAATCTTGTTTTACTGTGTTGTAGTCACTGTCTGGCTATGGAAGCAGGAAGCTTGGCAGCTGAGCACTGCTCATGGCCTGTACCATTAAGCTGCATATTTTGGGTGTTTCTTTTCTTCCCCTTTCAGTCCAGGCTGGAATGAGGAATGATCTAACCTCTCAGGAAGGGCACTGTGCGTAGCTGTGATCTGCCTGTCAGTCTTATTGCTAATTATTTATTTACTACCTTCTCTGCAGGGCAGAAATGCATCCTCAGCTTTAGGCAGTAATCTGGGCTATGCTTAGCCTTGGTAGGCTCTTTTTGGGAGGCCTCCAGCCTTTTCTCAACACTGCCTCCAGACGAGGATATATCTGGGTTGGGAATCTGGGCTGATCTACCTGTGTGTGGGTTTCAGCTTGCCTTTCGTAATGGGTGAGGCCCAGCATGTTACTGCTATTTGAATGTGAGCTGTTGTTTACAAAGGCATCTCCATATTGGGTTTGGAAATGCGCTTTCTTCTTAAAAGAGGGTTTCTCAGAATTGCAGATGGTTTTACATACTCCCTAAACATATTGTTTCTTTATGCCCCTTTTCCCGCCACTAGAAACAAATTAATATGTATTCTTGTACACAGATGGAGCCAATGATGAACATATGGTCAACTTTTGTACTGTCATTGTAATAATTAAAAGTGTTGTAATTGTGGTGTTTTGAGCACTTGCCTGTCACAAGTCTGTTATAGTCATTCTGCCTTCTTTTGTTTGCCTTGGCACACATTGGTTTTATGTGTTGTACTGGAAGTTAGTTCTTCCCCCGCAGATTGTCCATTGAGCTAACTGGTATGGGATCACACATACGACCCTAAGTAATGCAATCTSAGCTCATTAAACTAAAACAGTTACAAAGCACTTGTGTAAATAAAAATTATGCATGTCTTCATAATTCTATTTAAAACATGTAGCAAGTAGGTTTTTCTTCCTATTACTGTTAAAACCTGAGAGGCCCTTTTCATATGCAGCCCTAAAACTCTTCCATGGGAACACCATTGCAGAACCAAGTTAGTTTGAAAAGCTACATTTTGTCTAATAATACTTGTTTCTCCCTGTCTCTGTGTTGTAAAGTTTGAAGGAACAAATGAACACAACTCATGATTGAATCTCATCAAAGTCTGCATTAAGGCTTATTTGTACATTAAGGTAGTGGGTTCCTCAAGACTGATATCCTTCAAATCTAAAAACATTACTTTTAAGCCACAGTAATTGAACATCTTCAGCTTTGATTTTTTTTTTTTGTATATACTACAGGTTTAATCAGGGTAGGCCCCTATTTAGAACATATCATGTGGCAGATTCTCTCCATGTTCTGATCCTACTAGAAAGTTTTCAAGATTTCTGTAAAAGGAACATGCTGGCACATGCTATACTTGTTCAAAGCAGGAGGCTTTACATTTAGAGCACTGAGCATCTTTTTTTTTCTGGTCATTTAGCCATTTTTTTTGTGCCAGGTGAACTTCCTCACCACCCTCTTCAATACTGAAACATTTTAAGTATCAGCTGGAGATAATTTGGAATATGAAGTTTGAGATTCTGGAATAGTCATCTCTGACTTAAATGCTCCTATTGGCTTCATGATAAAAAATGCTCTAATTATTAATGCTTGGAAATCTTAGATGTCTTAACAGCAAGTTGACTTTTCTTGATTTTAGTTGGAATAAGCCAATTGTTTGGTGGTCTGTCTGTGTTCCCTGCAAAACATATGGAAAAAGCTTGAAAATTTGAACCAAGTATTTAAATATATCTGTAGATACAAAAAATAATTTGGGAACYTACTGACTTTTCCAGTAATAAAACTAGAAAATTATTCCTAGGAGTTTGTAACCTATACTCGATACTGCCTCATAATTTGTTCCACCTACCCTTCAATTTGTTTACCTTCTCACTTTTTCCTTTTTGGACCATGCATCATTTAAAAAGCCAGCTTTTAGAAACTCTGTGATTTCCTATTCCATTGCTTCTGCACATGCATTTGAAGATAGATGCTGTCCAAGTAATTATGCTATGAGTCATCTTGTGGTTTACTGACCAAATTTGATTGAAATTCATGCTACCAGATGATGAGTTTTTCTTCTGCAGAACAGGGAATGTTGAKAATAATAAAAAAAAATGGAGCAGCTTTCACCCATCCCCATCCCTTCTGTGCTTTAATTTATCTCTCACTTTTTTTTTTTTTTTTTTTTTTAATTTCTTTTCTCTGGAACCTGTTAATTTTTGGTGACTCAAACTCTTCCTTGTTACTGCATATTGTTCCTGAGAAGAGCTATGATACCATAGTTCAAGATGGATCATTTCAAATGCACACATGTTGCTGGCCCACATTTCCCTCTAGCTTTGATCTGCTGTGTTTATACTCTGCAGGGAAGGCCCAGGGGAAAAATAGACATCCTCTCACATTTCTCTTTTTGCAAATCTATTAACACCGATTTTTATGCATTATCATGTCTTCAAAATTCCTCCATCTTCTGTACTGGTGTCCTCTCAGCATTCCCCCTAATCAGGCA